TTTTTATTTAATTTATATATATAAATTATAAACATAAAAATTGATATTTTGGATATATATATAAAAAAAAGATTCATTGAAATTTTTGAATGGCGGAATATAATATTTATATATATAAATGAATTATATATATATATATATATATATATATCTATATAATATATTAATAAAATTTTTAAACATATATTCATATAAATAATTAATATATATATTTTCATATATTTTGATTCTATATATCATAATAATAGAAAATCATATTTTAAATACTTTTTTAGAAATTAATCTATTTATCAGTTCATAAAATAAACAGAAATATCATTAAGATGTTTATATTTGATAAATTAACCAACATTTTAAAAATAAATAAAAAATTTCCAAAATTGAAAGAAAAGGAAGATAAATATACAAATATATATATATATAATATATATATATATATATATATATATATATATATATATATATATATCAATAAAGGTGCAATCAATTTACAAATTCATGAATTATTCATACAAAAAAACCAAATACAAAGGTTAATGATTTAATTATGAGAAATCCATCGTCGCAAAAAATTCAAATAATATACAAAAACCCCCGACCTGTTTATGAATGAAAAGATCCTTGTTTTTATAAATTTCTGTTGCATTATTAGTTTTTATTTTTTTCGTACAATTTTCGTCTGTTCCTACAGACATGGAATAGATGGAATAGATTTTTGTTAATAAGAGGACAAAAAATATAATAGTAATAAGAGGACAACGAAAATATATGTATTGTTGTATTTAAAAATTAACAGATAATGAATGATGAATAAATGAATATATAAAATGAATTTAAAAAATATAGATTGATAGATAGATATATAATGAATAGATAGATAGATAGAAAGAAAAACAGAATGAATTGATAGACAGACAGATAAGATAGAAAGATAAATTCAATAAATAGCTACAAATCAACCGTGGTGAGATTCAAACACAGGTTCTATACATGCATACATACATATGAAGAGGATGAAATTGATTTGAATTTTTGAAACAAATATGAATAGAGAATGAAATAGATAGATAGATAAGATATAATAGATAGATAGATAGATAGAATGATCTCATGTTGTCTAATGGCATATGAAACAGAAAACTTAATAAGAATGATGATTAGAAATAAACAGTATCGAAGAAACAAATCTATATTTTTAAAGGTTATTATATAGATTGATTAATCAATAATTTGATCGACCGGGCAAAATATATGAAGCATTCTATTTAAAATGCTCATTTTGACACTGGTTTCACATAGAATTAAACAAAAAAAAGACACATTGTTTTTGTCACCAACAATGGAACTAACAAGCAAAAGTGTTAAAAAAAAAAAATTCCTGAGGTTTACAACAAAATAATAAAACTAGTTGGAATAATTTATTTAAAGCAAACCCTTTTTTTTTTTTAACCAATTTCACCCCAATAAGGCAATAATGCCATTTACCATGCAAGGGATTATAAAAAAATGAATTTAAGAAAAAGGTTTTTTGAGGAAAGGATAAACAGAAAGAGGGGATCAGGATCAAGGCATCAGAAGATGTCGATTGGCATTACATTTGAATATTTGAAGATTATAGCTATCAGAAAAACAAGTAAGAGGAAGGGAGTTCCACTGCTGGGAAGTGCAAGAGAAGAAGCTGTTGGAGTAGCAGAGGCAGTTACATTTAACCGTTTCGACAGTGAAAGGGTGGGACCAAGATCAGTTGGGGTACCAGTGAAAATAGCTCCTCAGAGCAGTTGCCATGAAAATATTTGTAGAGAAGACAGAGGGAAGCCACAGCACGTCTGGGAGAAAATGACGAGATGCCAGATCAAGACCTATCACTTTGCATATCCGTTTCTGGATTTTGTCGAGGAAATTGAGATTAACAGCAGGGGCACCAGACCATATATGGCAGCAGTATTTAATGCAAGGACGAATGGTTGATTTGTAATTTGAAGGATGGACTCAAAAGGCGACAAAAAAAAAAACAGAAACACAGAGAACCAATTTTCAAAAATAGATTGATTTACTATTAAAATCAATGCACCTATCAATTTGATAAAATTTGAATTTTAAAAGATTCAATATCTGTTCAGCAACATTTTCGATAATACCAACAAATAGGGTTTAATAACGTTTTATTTCGACCAAATTTCGATAATTATAAGATATATATATATATAATATTATATATATATATATATATATATATATATATATATATATATTGTGTATATTTAGGCAGCAATTTTTCATTGATACATGTTTCATTAAATAATATAGACAAGTTTTGTCTATTTATTTTAAGTAAGGTCCTTTCATATTGTCTGATAAGCTTAATAACATTATCATTGAAAGACGAAAGGAATTCACCATATTGATACATGTTTAAATCCAATCTAAGCTTTCGGCTTACTTAAGCCATTATCAAAGATGACAGTTACTTATCGATATATCAACCAATCCACGGACGAAACAATAATGATAGTCTTTTTTTGTTGCACTAACTCGACTAACTCGTGTATACGAGACGCGGAGGCGAAAATCGCGTCGCAGCTCGTGACGTTACACATGACCACGAGAAAGCGAAAACGAGAAGTATTAAGTATGGGAAGCCGTTGGTATAAACCAATGGTTTCTGTTATCAGTTATAGGCATTTAAGAATATTTGTGGAGATTTTGTAGTTTATTTTGTTTAGGTTAGGTTTCAACTGTTTTATGTATACAGCTTCAAGAATTTTTAGTTTTTGTTTATTGTTTACATGTTTAAGTATAGTTGTGTTTTCAGCAAGGATTTTCCAGAATTGTGTACGCGGCCAGGCATGTTGTTTTAAATATATATATCTAAGCAATGCGAAAAAAGCTACTATAATGCAAGGGTTTAGTGAGAGTGAAATAAACAGGGAGGATACTAAAAGAAAAGGTTTCAAGGAGACAGAAGAGAGCGACTGACATTGCATTTATAGCTCTCGTTCTCCTAGACTGGCTACCAATCCAGGCTAAATGGCTCCAGTTTATCTTGCCATTTAAACCGTAGCTGGAGGAGAATTAATGCATCTATATCTTTCGTTTACTATTTGTACGGAAGTGAACGGAACAGTATAGATGGAATCTGAATTCGGCATTCCAATGCATACTCTGCACGATTTTTCTGTTAGCAGTTCTTTCGAAAAACCGTGGCAAGGCTTTCGAAAGGTGAGGTTGATATGCCGTAAAACAAAACAAATCAAACCAAAAATGAAAAAAAATAACAAGCATCAGATAGGATTAAATCCACGTAGTACCGACTGCGGCGGCTGTCGCTAGCTGGCGAAACGGTTCCACTTTTATAGAGCTTAGACTCTTCTTTTCTGACAAAAGGAAAAGTAATAAATCACACCACCCAGTCCGCACTTGCCTAGATTGAATTATTTGGGTCGGGACTAGATGATTTAAGCTCTTACATCCAATTAAATGGCCATTCTTCTAACATCAACTCGTTAAATTAGAAAAATCGTATATCTACATTGTTACGAGACAGTAGCTATAATTCTTGCCACATGTCGCTGATCATGACGTTTTGACCCATCAGTGTATGTCTGAGTGTACGTTTGTCTATAAAGATGGCGTAAAAGGAAAACGATTCTAGCAAAATTGATCAGTGTTTAATTAATTAGAATATAAATTTTAGGGGGGGGAAATGTTTTAAACAAAACTGAATTTAATTAAAATCATTTAGCAAATTCTTAATTCTCTCTTTGTTATACTAGAACATTACCTATTCTATTGAAATAGACTCTCCCACACATAATAAGTAGTAGTAGTAGCGGTCGCTAGTTGGGCTCAGTGGAATTGAGTGAGTCAGTCGATGTCGGACATTGAAGTATCAACCATCACAACTAGATTGCTGCGTCATTAACTATTATTGCAAGTTCCTAACGTTTCGTACGTCGAACCTAATTTAGGACGAATAGTGAAATACAAACCTCCACTGTGAAAAAAACTTTACAACAAATTTGGCAACGAAGGATTTGAAATATACGGGAAAAGAATTTTCTCAAGCCTTTTCGTTCACTCTATTACAACATTCTCGCTACAAACCTTACCTTTATTCGAGAGAATTTTAATTTGGTGTGATTGGATCAATCACCAAAAAAAGTAATTTGATCTTTTGTACTAGATTAGGTCTTTTTTACGGTGCATAGAAACGTAGAACAGACGGCAGGGTTAATGTCATCCATTCATTTGTCTCGCTGAATTATTTTACTTTTGCTGAAACGATAGTAACATATTGCGAATTAAGGATATCTGGAAAGAAATGCTGCGTTTGATGTGGCTCGATTACTCACGAAGAGAAACACAAAATATCCGCTTTTACATTCTTAAATTATGTGTTTCAGTGTTAGGATGTTTGAGTTGGGTGTATAAAAGAGTGCCGAGTTTCTTAAAAGGTAACAGCTTGGATTATAATCAGAGTTGAGAGAAAGAGCCGTGAACAAGAATACACATTGCGAAAGCAATGATTTGTTTTGTAATTCTACTGGAACGACAAAGCAAACATAACCACGGGAGTCAGAGAGAGAAAGATATATATATATATATATATATATATATATATATATAGAAGATAAGCTGAAGAAGGAGAGTGAGTGGGTTGAGGGAGAGGGAAGAGAGGATTCAGAGAGCGAAAGGAGAGAATGCGAGTAAGGAAAGTTAGAAAGAAAGACAAGATAGCGAGAATGAGAGAGAGATAGAGATAGAGCAAAGAAAGAAAGAATGGGAGTGAGGGTAGAGATAAAAAGAGCGGGAGAAGGGTAGAGAAAGAAAGAGGGCCATGATAGATAGATAGAAAGAAATAGTGAGAGGATGGAGAGAAAGAAAAGAGTGAAGTGATAATTGGCTCGTAAGTGAATATAATGAACCCAACGGGAATTGGAACTCGGCATTTGGTTGAACAATTCCGAGTCATTATCCATTACACCACCTGCACATCCAAGCTTACAACACCTGGTATTCTTAAGTGGTCACCCATCTAGTTACTGACCAGGCTCGCCGTTGCTTAACTTCGGTGATCGTACGAGAACCTTTTTGTTTTTTAAACATAATGTTATCGTAAAGAGTGATTTTAAGATACGTGACTATTTAAAAGGCGGGGTCCCCCTTGTCGTTGAGTTAAAGAACCTGCAGGAGGCACTAAACTACCATCAAAGTAGTAGTAGTAGTAGTAGTAGTACTAGTAGTAGTACTAGTACTAGTAGTAGTGGTAGTGATAGTTTCTAGAATTGGATAGAATTGTGGAATTTTTAGTGTTAAGTGGAATGGACGAGTCGAGTTCAAATTCCGTGATGGACCGTTGCATTCACTTGGAGAAAGTATGAATTGCTCTCCTGCACCCCCCACCATGATATGAAGTTGAAAAAAAAAAGGCTCTCTAGCCTTGGGTGGCACATGCTCTCAGAAAATGAAATCTCTGAATTCCAAAAAGTTGGGGAACGCAGCAGCATATCACTCACCTATGGTTCCCAGGAATGCATCTCATTTTACAGATAAAGGAAATACATCTGTAGAAAATCATGCTCGATTATTTTTAGAAGGAACATAGTATTAAAAAAAGCTAGCAGAAATAGTAGTTGCAGTGTAAAAATAATTGGAATTAAACTTATAACAGTAAAAATAATAAATGTTTACTTAAAGCAGCACTATGAAGACAATAAAACCGTAATGGCATTTGTTGTCACTTGATCTCGTTGGTAACCACAAGCTACGAGATTTGTACTCTGAATAATAATGACACCAATAATAAAAAAAGAAAGATGGATGAAAATAACGACTAGATTATCTGGCACGTGGCCACATTCGTGTGGTGCTGAGGATCGAACTCATATAACAATTGAATAGTCTGCAAGACCAATCTGTTGATTGTCTCGTTACGGAAAGCACCTCCAAGTTGGATATCGAAGGAGGTTTTACAACCAGCTCGGTGATCATGGTCGTATATCTTGTTGGTTGTACCACTTGCTCGGTGACACAAGGTGGAGGAAAAGGAGGAGGAGGACGAAGAAGAAAAAGAGAACAACGAAACGGCGGTGGAGAGGGCGGAAGGAGGCGTAGGAGTGGGAGGTTATTGCTCCAGCAACAGAGAATAAGCGAATCAATATTGAACGCTTCAAGAGACGAATGGCAAGCGTCGAGCTTTATCGATTATTTCTCCCTTTCCTGCCACCACTGCTACTATCACCACGACGACGACGACGACTACAGTCAATGGCGAAATATAGATTCGTAGGTGATCTGTTAAAGACATCGATTCTTTAATTAAACGATTCGATTTTCAGTCTATGAATGATTATTAAGTTCGTAAGTAAGCTTTCTTCCCCATATGCCTAAATATATTTTGTTTATTCACTTGTTTAGATTTGATTTTTGAACAATTTTAATTGATATTTCTGCAAATAAAGAAACTGTAGCCTTGTTGCTATTTTTGAAGAAGAGAGACAGGCTGATATGTCTTACTTATTCTCCTTCATTCTCTCTTTAAACAGAAAATTCCCCTGAAAACGATTTGATTAATCTTATTTATAAGAGAATATTTTATATATAAATTGGTCCGGATTACTAATAAACGTAGTTCCTATCTCTTTTCAAAAATGCTCGCAATGGAATTGTTATTTACGTAGCTATATTGGGTTTGAAATAGAAGTAAATTGGTGAGATATTAAATGTAAAGCGAATACACTCTACAAGTGAATTGTTGACAATCAGGCTACGGTAGGCATTGTTGTTGAGCCAGCTGTGTTTAGTTCGGTACAAGGAATCGGAGTTACTAATAAAGTGAATTGTACTAAACACATTCTTTGCGGTAAGGTTTCTTATAGTTATTCACTAGGCTCTGCTTAGTTTGGTATAAGGTCGTAGTATTTGGGCGATTAATGAGGTGACACTCCAACGACAGCTGCCTCAGAACCTCATGAATAACCGTAAAAAATGTTTCTTCCCAAATAACCCCCCCCACTATTGGCTTCTAGTTGGGGGTGAAAAATGTCGGAAACAAATTAGTACTACATATATGTTTTATTGAATGTTGGGAAATGCTTCGGGACTTCTATACTCTTCGTCAGTGAAAAATGTAAACTGATTTCATTTTAGAGAGGTTTGCGGAACAATCGATTGTTTTTTTTACCAAACCTATTTTTTTACATTCCAAAGACTGTTATATATTACCTTTATTTATTTAAATAAGGCTCATTTTTGGCACTGTAAATGTCCTTCCCTATTAGTCAATTTATATAGTTTGTCTGCCTTGTTGCTAATGAAAAAACAATTAATTACATTTTTATTTATACTGATAGATACTAAGATGATTTTAATTACTTTAACATCATTACAAGTGTCTATTGTCCTCATTTGGTCTTGAAAATGAACTCCATTTAAATCTTTGGTTCATGAAGAGAATACATTTACCAACAAAAAAAATCTTATGCAATTTTTGTCTACAATTTTATCGTGTAAATCAGTATTATTTGTTTTTCTCTTCATTGTTAATAAATTCTTAAAAAAGAGAAAATGCGCTTTAAAAAAAAAAAATTCTCAGCGACATTTTCCTGCCGTTATTTTCCTATTGTTATTTGTCATATTAACGTTATTTCGCTTTTCACTGCAACCGAAGCACCTCCAGCAAATAATAGTTGTGTCACTTGTGATTGATAATAACATCGTGTATTTTCAAATCTAATACAAAAATACCTGCGGCATTTTTGTAAAAATTTCACTTCGTGATTTCTGTGAGTTTTCAAATCAGCTTCTTTTTCTTTGTGAAAAACAAAATGTGATGTTTTCTTAAATGTAACCAAAATAATAAATGGAGTCAGCATTGAAATAAACTTTGACGCGTTTTCAGATGTTGACAAAGTAAAAATTGATCGGATCATCTTTACGAAGCAAGACAAGTTGAAAAATCAGTTTCACGTCCGATAACCGAAGTTCAGCAACGTCGAGTCTGGCCACTACCTAGATGGGTGACCGCTGGGTAATACCAGGTACTGCACGCTTGGATGTGTGGGTGGTGTAATGAATAAAGACTCTGAAGTCATAATCGGAGAGCCAAGTTCTAATTCCCGTCTGATTCGTTATATTCACTTGGGAAAGGTATGGATCAACCTCTTCTCACCCAGATATGGGTTAATTAGTATTATTTATATGAGTAAACCATTGTAACTAAAAAAAATGCTTAGAATCTAAAAGTATTTTCTGGCTTTAAATAACCTGCAAAGGGTTGATAAGCCTTAAAAAACAATCAATTTACGATGCAATTTAATATATTCCTGTCTCTAAGTCAATCCACTTTTGACATTCAACAAGCAAAGGCTTTATTTTTTGGCAACGTAGCAATTCAAAGGATCATCTTTACGAAGCAATTTTATAACGTCTTTTTGTCTCTAAGTCAATCCACTTTTCAAAATGCAAAAGCTTAATTAGTAAGCAGCAGATTACAACATGGCAAATGTCCGGACGAGCTTATAACCATCTTATTCAGAAAGTCTCTACCTTGAGTTGCTTCGTCCAACGAGGTAGATTATTCTAGTTCCGCGTGCCATGCCACTTCCGGATGTCTCAGTTATTTCCCTTTAACTCAAGAGTTGGTTCACCACTGCTGTGGCCTGGTAACCAACACTTTTATTCACTGGATCATGTTTCCTTAAGGACATCTATGTATGAATTTCTGGAACATAAAAACCTAATGTTTCTGCAATCGTTTTTTTACCAGTGCTCATATTGCATTTTTTCCGTTATTATTATTATTCCATAATTTTTTTTACCAGTGTTTATATTGCAATTTTGTGTTGTTCATTGCTTTTCTCTAGCACTACTTATTACTGGTTCCCATATTGTATTCATTTCTATGCTTGGTCAGCACAGGAGATTTTTGTGGCCTAGCATATGTGCTGATTCCTTATGGTTTTCATATTTTCCAGTGATGTTTATTATTTCAAACTCATCCCACAGGGGATGATGATCTCCCTTTTCCCTCCATATGTGGTAAGCTACGCCTGATTTTTCTATATTCCCTCGTGTTACTGATTTACAGTGTTCTTTCAGTCTTATCTTAAGGGGTCGGACTGTTTCTCCTTTATATCCCTTACCACAGCTGCGCGGTTCTCTTCTCTGAGGTGGGGGAGGTCTTACTCGGAAGTGGTGTTTGCGAATAACCGAGATATCAGGAAGTGGCATGGCACGTGGAACTAGAACAAAATAAAGGCAACGAAATAAAGGGTTCGACGAAATTCCAATCTCCTGGAGCAGTCCGGAGCGTACAACGACAGAAACGTTGTGAATATGGCAATGAAGGTGAGGATAACAGTCCGAATAATGTAAATATAACACCTGAAGAAGGCCGGGGCGTACAACGGCCGAAACGTTGTGAATATGGTAATGAAGGTGAAGATAACAGTCCGAATAATGTAAATAATGTAAATAACCATAATATCTCATCTCAGGGATATCGACAAAAGAGCTAAGACAATGAATAATATTCGTTGTCTACACACGTGGAATTTCCAAGGATCCAGTTCGTGGGATATGAGAGCAAGAATACGCAGATCAAAGTAAAGGATGAGAGAAAGGCAGAGGCATATGATAATGGATACTTTTAGTTGTATTGGAAGGGATAAGGAAGTGAATGAGAAGATACAGGTAAATGGTGAGAGGAGAGCAGAGGAATGAGATAATGGGTAACCTTAGTTGCAAACATCTGGAATATACATGTTCAGTTATGTACCATTATAATTACATTTTGTATTCGTTTTCCGCCGATGTTGCATTCGTTTTTCGTAAAATACCTTTGGAATCACCATTATTGATGCCTTCTAATTTTAGGATAATCTAACGCCGGTAAAATATCGAGGATTGTAAAGTAGAAAGAGAGTGTTGCAGTATTTTTTTTATGATCCTATTAGCCTGGAAAATTCGAAATTCTACATTTCAGTGAACTTCCAACATGGAACCGATGGAAAATGATTTAGTATTTTGTCCTTCAAATAGATTCTTTTTTTTAATCCCTACGATTAAAAAAAAAACAAAGAAAAAGC